AAGTAGTGCGTATGTTACAAAAATTGAGTATGATGCACGTCCAAAAGGACACAAGGAACTTACCGAGTGCACTCACTACGCATTATCTGGGTGTCAAAAAGATTTGGTCATATTCTGTTCTATATATATTGCCATAGCAGCGAGCTGAGAAGTATATCAATAGGCCAATTTCGTTTTTTTGTCAGGCATAAGTATGTGAAGTGTATCGGCACTTGGCTACTAGACCGAAATCACGGACATTAAGAGTCTTTGGCGGAGGTCGTAGGTATAAATAGCAGTACCTGATTTGAGTTGTATCGGCAACATTAACTCTTGGAATACAATCTAAATATACACGCACTCATCCGATATGTAGAAGGAAGGGTAGGAGTCCATTTCGCTTCCAGAACACTCTGGTACTGTGGATGTACTGCGATCTCAAAGCGCTTGATGATCGACTGGACAAACGCGTCGACGAAATGCTCAAAGAAGGGGCTCTAGAGGAGATGCGTGCAGTGGTAGCCGCACGTATGTGCCATATGTACAATCGAAATGATATGTACGTATAGTAGTATGTGGCTCTATATGCATACTTGAGTGTCATATACGCATTCGAGTTGATATATATACAAACACACACACGTATATATATATATATATATACTGCGATGTCAAGGTGCTTGATAATAGTGTAAACAACCGCGTCGGCGAAGCGTTCAGATAGAGGGCTTTAGAGGAGATGTGTACAAGTGATAGCCTCGTGAATGTGCCAATATGCATTCGTAGTATTGCCTCCGTATATTAGTGCAGGTACATGCGGATATACATCATTTGAATGTTTTATATGTACAGTGATGTTGATATTTATATTTACGCACAGTGTCACCCTTCGGAAACTTCCTGCCATATCGGTCAACACTGTCGAGAACATTTGTAATGTCAGTATCCGTTTATCCCTATTTGACTGTATTGGTACTTGCAGATAGAAATGAACAACTCACGAGAATAAAGAGAGAACGCCGCGAGTTTGCTTCGGACACAACGGGCCCAGCAGACGATACCACACCTGACTTCACAAAGGGAATATGGCAGAATTTAGGTCTGAAGGAAATGTATCCGTATCTGGTAGGTGCGTGTATGCAATGAACACTTATCGTCCGACACCTGGTTTATCTCTTGAGCTGTGGACTCTTTATGAGTGGGTTGTCTGTATGTGCGTTCGGGATTTGAGTGCGTTGAATAAAATCTTCGTGCTCGTGTGTTCCGTCCATTTGTATATTTTTGTGCATTTATTCGTAGCAGGCATATATGAACTCAAATATTGAGCCTGCGTTTATGTTATACCCTTGCATGTTTCGTTTGAGAGCAGTTGATCATTTTGTGTCTTTTTAGCTCAGACGGTTATAGAAAACACCTATCACGGGCACCAGTCATATATTTATCCCGTAATATATATCGGCATTTTGAACTCTGATGGGACTTACAGTAGATGTTTTGGGCAGATAAACGTTTATGTACATGTGTTTTTTGTTTCTTGTTTTCATTGCGATGTTGTATTAGTTGTTGTTTTCATTCGAATATTGGTGTTTATTTATACCTGTGGTTCTAGGCCACGACATGTGAATGCCCTACTTGTACCAGACGACAATTATTTGCTGTGTGTCCTGTTTGCGGCCTATCGTCGTTCGAAACGTGTGCAATTAGCTGACATCTAGGCACTGGCATGGTGTGGTAGAGCGCACCAAGCCGGTGACCGGTAGGTGGTTTGGAAGAAGGATCCACCACATTGACACTGACATATTGACATTGACATATTATTGGCACTGACATATTGACATTGACATATTGACACTGACATATTGACACTGACATATTGACACTATCATATTGACATTGTCATATTGACACTGACACAAGGGTCAAGCCCCTTGTGGGGACTGTAGTGAGGAATATTGTTCTGTCACATACTAAAATACACATCATACATTTCAAAACATTCACAGACTATAGTTTCAAAACACTCACAGACTACAGGCGAGGATTACAACGTGTGTATAGAGAATATGAAGCGTGGAACTAGACGTTATGCGCGCCGACAGCTCACGTGGTTGAGAGGCCATTTCGCCAATTACATAAAACTACCTGCAAACACATGGGCTGTTAACACAACGGGTGCGGAAAAGGGAGTACGAGAGCACCAAGCTGGGGAGTTGATTGCTCCAGGAGTAGCAGAAGAATGTGGAGATCCGCTGTCGACTGTCAGCGGAGACAATTCTGTGAATACGACCGAACGTCCACTGGAAAATGCTGGCAATAGAGCCGCACCCTGGACAGTCGTACACAACGGGACTGTGATCGAAAAAGGGACTGGACTTGGGAAGAAAGGGCCGGGTTTTAAGGACACAAACCTCGGCCATACCGACGAAAAACTTGAGAATGGACATGGAAGTGAAAGCACAAAACCAGATGTCTTATCCTCAGACACGATACAAAGTGTGCCTGTAGCAGTCAGACATATACCGATCGAATCGTCTACGACAACTGGCGTGTGTGCTGTGCATTTGAATGTTGCATCTGAACCTGAGATGAATGTGTATGTGATCGATAGTACAAACACCACTGAATACACACGCACAGTGCTACCAAGAGCTATGGCACTGGTGAATATGTTTCTGAGCGAGGATAAAGGTCGTATGATGCCTCATGTGGATGTGGAGCGTGACTTGCCTGAGGATATAAGGGAATCTCTGAGTATGTTCATCACTGCAGTGCTGTATATGTGGTTTTGTATGGCAAACTCGTGTATAGGGTACATGCCAATTTGTGCGTTGGTTAGGTGATTTGAATTTGTACCTGTATTCGGGTGTCTGTATATATCATACACACATTTGTATAATTATTTATATATGTGTAACACTTCATAGATGAGACATGTATATGTGTGTCTCGATACATTCAAACTATACCCATGTATTTATGTAAATATGTAGAATAAACGCAAGTCAACAATATGGTGGACATACATACAGAATTGTATAAATATATAATCACATTCATTCCTGATAATGTCATATATATATATATATATATATCTATTTATATATATATATATATATGTGTGTGTGTGTGTATATGTATAAGTATATATATATATATATATATGTACAATGTATGTACATATATATATATATATACTATCTATATATATATATACTACAGTAGTATCTACTATATATATATATATATATATATATAGTACAANATAGTAGTAGT